AAAAGAGAGAGATTGGACCTGTGCGCTCCCGTGCCACTGAAGATGTTCACTGCTGCAGCAACATGTTGCCATCACTCTGCTTTTTTCTTGTTAGTGATCCAGTCCCGTGACCGCCGATCAAAACTACTTTTCGGGCCTCCACCTCACACCCCACAAGTGTCTCCATTCAACCTCCGTGAAATTTTCGCTCTTTGCTTTTCTCAGTCCTTCTGCTGTTGTTTCCGACAAGACATAATACTTGCATCTGAGTCTGTTTTATATGCAGATCGCATTCATGAGGTCATTTGCATTGACCATTTATGGTTAAAGGGGCGTGTACAGGGCGGAACGTGAAGCTGATTCAGCTGCGCACATTTGTGGCACTCTGTGATTTATAAAGCAAAGATTGCTTACAGGTGTTGGCGTGCAGGGTTTTATAAAGTCTGAATATTTTTTGGCGCACGCAAAATCTTGGCTTTTGGGGCGTACGTACACTTTTAGTACGATCCCACTCGCACAGTTTTATAAATGAGACCCCTGGTGTTACTAATAACATTAACTTTGTCTCTGTTCTATTCAAGTATCCCAGTAAGCAATCACAGTGATCCAGCATGAACAATGTCAGGATCTTGAAACTGAAGAAACTAAATCAAATTCATCATTCATTTTATTATTTAGACCTGTGTCTTTCCTACTGTGACATGTTAATGTTTCTTCTCTAAAAAGGCCCCATGCATCATAGAACCACTTGTGGTGAAAAACCTTTAAAGCTTTTTTAAGGTTGGGTTAAGTCTCCAAAGAATGAATAAAAAGTTAATGTAATGGCCTCCTAAGAGACTAAATCAAGTGTGTGTGGGTGTATACCTCTAATCTCCAGCATCAGTCTACTTTTCAGTGGCTACGCTTGGGGCAGGTCGATATCTACCATAAATGGGGATCAAGTATTGGAATTTAGGGGCACCTTTGCAGTTATTGAAATATCGCTGCCATGGTCTGATCTAGAAATGCTGTGATTATATGGCACCCCCTATAAGTCCCCTCTAGTAAATTACAGAAAAAGACGGTTCTTGTTTTATCATTCTTTGACTATTTATGGCACTGCATGATCTTATTTCATGTAGCTTTGTTTAAACTAATCAGTTCTGTTCTGTACCTCCACAGCCAACAAGACTAAAAGTCTAAAGTCCCTCTAGCAGCCCTGAAGCTCCAATATTCATTGCACACAACAATATGAAATGGTTGGATGGGACAAACAACATACTGATGATTTAACTATTCTTATAACCTTGCTGTTAGGGGACTGAGAATATAATGTTTGACCTCAGGCTGATGTCCAGAAGAGGAGTTACCAAATAGACCTTTTTTCCATTTTGACATTATATATTAGGATTAGTGTGTTACCAGTGATACTGATTAATGTACCATTCAGGTCAAACAGAGTCAGGGTGCTGCTGTTGTGCATGCTAGCTCACTGTAAAGGCTCTGTTACACCAAATGGAATGTAACCTTAATTAGTGTTGTTAGTAACACCTGTGTTTACCCTACTATTTTATTGTCGAAATGGCTCAATCTGCTCAATAGATATTCATATTGGTGGGCCAATACCTGGTAGAGTAGGCCAAATGCAGGATCCCCAAGCTCCAGGATTGTACCTCTAGGGAGCATTAATATCACCAAGAAATTTCATGACATTCTGGCTGAGTTACAAAAGTGGTGATAAAGGGGAAATTTTGACACAAACTAAACAAATTGTCATGCAGACAATCACCCCTTTGGGACCATGAATATCCATGTCAAATGGCAATGTACTTGTTTTACAGAAATACTACTATCGATTGAATACAGAGGTGCTGGGCTGAATTTGTCAATTGATCAGATTTGGCTGTTCAGTATTAAGATAAGATTTTTTCAGTTCAGTGCCACACTAAACTCCTATATCATGTTCAGTTATAAAATCCCACAGCCACCACAGAGCATCTCTGCAGCTGGGCTGCCGACAGTGCTGTAACCCCAAGAGCCAATCACAGTAGACAGCAGTGGAGGAGGTTGGACCACCGTCTGGTTCAAAAGAGGTTTAGCTGACAGTCAGCACCAGAGCAGAGAATCGGAGCATCCGCTGCCCAGCATCACGCTGCAGTCTGTTAACTATATCTCTTCTCCTCTCGCTTTCATCACAGTTAGTTATGTGGTTTGTTTGGATCTGAACTGCTAATATTCTGTTTCCTCGTTTAAGAAAAGTGGCAATGCTTAGTATTCCACAGGGAAAAGTTTATTTAGGCTGACCTGAATTTGCTCTTGATTAACATGAAAAACAACTCAGTTTGCATTACGACAGTCTCAAATTGCCTTTTTGGATTATGTTAGTCTTCACTCTGCAGGGCTGGGTCAACCCTGCTACTGAAATGTAAAACAGCCACTAAGGGATGCTAGGTGTCACCAAAATCAAAGTTGACTTTGTACTGGCAGCAGCTCTAAAGAAGGGCTCTTTCACTTTACTGCAATTGTATATAATTACCTGCTGTCCATTAAAAGCCATTAGCCATAGATTTAGTCTTTCACTTCCATGTGCTTGCTAACCTGCAAGTAAAGAGTCTGCTTTTGGCGTCATTTACATAAGTAACCTCTAAACAGCAACTGCAATGGATTGTGTTCCCCAGAATCTTTATTGAAGAGATATACCTGGAAACTGTACCGAGGACAGACTGGGAAGGTTGTGCAGTTGGAATCTCTCCACCAGAACATAACACAAACATGCAGTATGAAAAAACATACAAGAAAAAGATTGTCATGTGAATGCATCTATGCAAAAGTCAAAATCCAAAGGTAGTTTACTGCTTCCTTTTGATAGTTTTGCATTTTGGTTTAACAAAGGCAGTATGTATGGAGCTTGATGGCGATAGGTTGAATTTAGCCTTTAGTTTAAATGAATGCAGGACGGGCTTCAGGAGAGATTGGTGCGATTTCTGTACCTCATCCTTGTCGCGGTCCATTGATTTGGATTAATGTTATTACAGTCAACTAACTCACATAGAAGAGATTATTATGTGGACGTAGAATATGTACAGCATTAATATTTGTCGTCTAGTCCCTGACCTTGTCACTCCTCAAAAGGAAACACCAACCTCACAGCACAGCAGGGAGTGCAGAGTGAAGATACTAACTTCCCCCCTGCGTAATACACTCAGAGCCTACAGCTGGATGTTGGGTTGGAGTTGGGGCTTTTGAAATGCTATGAACAGCAGCAGCAACAGAGAGTGACATAGCTTTCAGGCAACTTTCAACCACGTGGTTAATGGTGTGAAACAATCGCAGTTGGTTAGGTTTAGGTAACAAAACTACTTGGTTTCAGATGGGACACGAACCCCGGTCTCCTGGATAAAAGTCCTGTGTTTTTTTGAGCTTTCATCCACCCCAATCACCTCCTTAGACAGACTTTTTCACTTTCTACACTATAAAGAAAGTAAATAGAGAAAGAGAGACACAAAAACATTTCTAGACAGCAGTACCTGGGAAGTTGCTTTCTGTTACAATGAACATTTTACTATATGTTTGAACATTTACACCATATGGTTCTCTGAAGAAAATTAACAAAAAGAATCATGCAGTAGCATTAAGTATTAGTATTAGCATTAGTAGACTTTTTTTCTGTTGTTTATTGCAATCTGCATAAAATGACCCAGCAAAGTACAAATACCACGTCTTCAATATGATAAACCATATATACCGGAACTGGAAACATTTGTGAAATGCTTTTTCTTCTGTTCTTCTTTTCCAGAAGGCTAAATCTTAAATTGCTTTGCTTTACAAAATGGCTGTGTTCAAGCTGTCAAAAAAAATGTGGTCTATGTGTAATTGAAGCTTCGCCAGTGAGTACAGTGCCAATTTTCCCTGTATGTCAGTGTCACCTTGAACATTGATGAGTGGCAGGAAAGTCAGACTCTATGGTGATATATAGTGGAGAAAGGAAGCAGGTGGTGAACGATGTCTCACACACATAGTTGGAAAGAATCGAAAAGCCATGAAATTTGTACTCCCTCTGAAGGTCACAGAAGGTCATTAAACTCAACTATAAATTCAGTCCTGTCTAATCATAAAGTATCTGGTATTCAACATGCACGAACATGCACCTTTCCGACAGTATAGTTGTATAAGCTGCAAGTGTCTTTACACACGTTATTGGTACCCAGAATACCTGGGAATACCAACAAAGACACACATAGAATGGAGAATCTGAGTGTCTGTCTCGTCAGACTCTGTCTAATCAAAGTATCTGGTATCCTCCAACATGTGCCTCTCCTACAACTAGAACAGTACTTTAAAAGAATAGTTGTCTTTTCATTGGAATAACACACATTGGTTCCTCAAATACCTTGAACTAATATGTTAAAATGATTCCTAGAAGAGTTTTGTATTTTAAATAATAAGATCTTAGATACCAAACAAGAGTTTTATGCTTCACGACAGTGATTGTCTGCTTTATAGCTCAGCCATTCAACTGCATTACTAACAAGGCTTTATAAAGTTGTCTATAATTCTGTCTCAGTTAGGTATTGGTTACATTATGTGGGACTAAGAGGTCTAAACCAGCAAAAGTACACAAGAGTGTTTGGAAAAATGTGTCCACATACCTATGGCCATGTAGTGTACCTTCTGTCAAGAATATCATATCAGCGATACTGAGTGTGGTTTCAGTTGAAGTTGAGTTGAGTTCCTAAATTCTGCCCCTTTTTGCTCTGTCCTCCAATAACAGTTTAGCGAGCCCCCTTTCAGAGTCTACTCTTTCTTTTCTTGTGCGTCAGTTTATTTTTTCCCAGGCTTACTAGTCATAACCCACCCTACTTTGGCTCTGATTGGCTAGTAATTGTTGGCTTCATTGGTTTGGTTGATTAGGTTTAGGCATGAGGAGTGAAATACTTGGATATACTATGTCCTAGGCTCGCCTATGTTAAAAAGACATTTTATTGTTAAATACTAGGTTAGGTTAGGTTAAAAAGTAAGATACATACGGTATATATACTGACATTTTAAGTTGGTGAATGTTAAATTTTGCCTAACTGGCTAACTAACACTTGATGTAAATTAGCTAGCTAATTATTGATACACTAGCTGGCTATGCTAAGATGTGACCATATAGGCTATATGTCGTTTTTATCTGCACAGTTTGCACAGCTTGTACAGCCGAGACGGTGGTTTTACGAGGGGGCAGGATCAGCCAATAACGAATACTCAAGAGTTGAGGGGAATTTCTATCATTTGGCAATCCTTATGTTTATTGTATAGATTCAGAAAATGAATTATACATATGATTATTTTCACAAATTTGAGCTTTTATCAGACTACTAAAAGAGGTTTAAAGCAGAAGCTTTAACATAATAGTTTTGACATTTAACTGTTGCTTATTGTATTACTAAAATAACGTTGTGTATATGGTAAGAAGCAAAGCAGGAATTAGTGTGACGGTCTTATATCGGACTTGTCAACGGATCCTTTGAAACTCTCACCAGATGTGGATGGGATTGGCAACAACAAAAGTCACTTGGGAAAAATCACAGTGAAAAATAGAAATAATGTGGCAAGACCATGTCATGCCACCTTGCTTGTGGAGGGAGGCCTCTCCCACAGAGATCAGTTTTCTTATGTCATGTTGTATTATGTTCCATTGTCAAGCCACCTCATCATATGCCCATTCCCTCTGGCAGCTCCTGGAGGCTGGTGCTGACAGCAGTCTGCAGAGGAAGAGGAGACAGAGCCAGGACTTCCTGCAGCCCTACATCACTGCCAAGCTGGATGGTCTGCCTGAGATTTTCACTCTGGGTGATGAGAAGAAATACAACGGCTACTACAACAAACCCCTCGCTGGCCAGCAACAGTATCGTTGCTTTGTTCTGGCTGACCTGATGGACCACGAGTCTGTGAGTGACCTCTATGTATTTATATTGTATGACTGTGAATAGCACCTTTAATGTATTTTAAAGTATCTTTAAAGTAATATTAGTAATACTAACAATACCTTAACTACACATTTTAAAAAAGAGAGCAACCCTTCTCCACTAATGGTACATGAACACAGTACTTACAGTACCTTGTGCAGAGGATGCTGCATTTTAGGCCAATCACAAAAGACTCTTTGACCAGTTGCTGTGCAATCACATCATCAGAGCCAGTGTAAAACAGAATAGGTGGGTGTAGCAAAAAGGAGAATAGGTTGGTAATAAACTCCAGTGTTCAGTTTCAAATTTGTGAATTTTGTTTTGGAAAATCTTTTTCACATTGAGTTAGTCTCTCAAAGCTTCAGTACTGATAACCAAGACTTCAGTTTAGTTTCATTCATTGCTTGATATCTAAAATACAGTTAAAATGAGCATCTATAGGCCTGAGTCATCAGAGGATGCAGCACTGTAAAGCTGTGTCATCAGCTTTACAACACATGTTGAAACGGTCCAACTTCAGTGCCCACACTACTGCTCAATCGGTCGGTCACAATATGTTGCTCACACTGAACCTAAACACTGATCTCCCAATCAAATTGCTCAAAACATTGAAAAGGCAGCCTTACTTGGAACGCAAGATGAAAGAAAGAATAATACAAAGCCACAGATGCCTGGGAGCTATGTGGAGGTTCAGTTTTTATGTCTTCTTTGTATCACAATACAGTCTCAGTCAAGAATACAGTCACTACATGTGAAATACTGTTCCAGTAATACTAAAATAATCTCACTTCAGTTCATATCTTTGACAGCAGCCACATGGGAAATCAGAACTGCTCAAACTGCAGACAGCTGACCATCATATCTGACCTACCAGAAATCCATCTGATCATCCAACAGCCAGACTGTTGAACATTTAGGAGTTCATCTCTAAATAATTTAATTAATTAATTAATTGGTCAAACACCAGCCAGTCTAGTGGAATTCTGATTCTGAAATAAGTCGGGGACATGCAAGTCATGGTTAAAATCTTGTTTAATTTGTCCATCATCTGTCCATCATCTGTCCGTACAACAAGCTGTTTATCCACATGATAACATACAAAAAGTAGACACAATAACAGGGACCCCTGTTCAAGATATATAGCATTTCAATGAATGCAACATTTGTGAAACTTGTACATACTTAATGTAACACTGTCTGTGTTGTTGTTGCACTGCACTGCATTATATATGAAGGTGTTCTTGTTATTTTCTCCACACTATAATGTTTTGGTGCCCTTGATCAATGGAACATTGGCAAAACCATGCTCTGGTAATAATACAAATGGATTCCCAGAGGGAGCCTGACCAACCTAGCGCCAATTGTTTTATATCATGTACTCCTTCTGCATTCCTATAGCAGTAAAATACACAGACCCCAGCTACCTGTTACTGCCCAAGAGAGAGGCAAATTTGAGTATTAGACTGGATTAAGCAAAGTTACAGTCTGCCTTGTATGCAGCAGTGCAGTGTCAGGAAAAGTTCACCTAGACCAAGGCTGCGGTTGACACCTCTTGCCCTTTAATAAATCATAAAACTACACTGAGGATGAGGGGATGGGTGAGCCAACGTGTGTAGGGTTTTAATATGTGGATTTATTGCTGTTTTGCCTGGCCTTTTAAAATAGTTTTCATAAACTATGTAAAAACATTCTAGTACTTACAACTGCAGTGTGTCCCACACATTTTCCAAAGGCCTTGTAGTGCTGAAAAACAGGGCCGAGTTTGATTTCGTGGATGGCATTATTTTTCCTCCCTGGTGTTTTCTATCTGTGGAACAAAAGAGCAGCCCCTCAGGCAACGGTACACACATGCCAGACACGTCGCAGGGATGCGAATCACGTCCTTGAGTCATGCATGCATCTGCAGGTATATCTCTCAGCCAGTGAAGCCAGGATCCCTGCTGTCACTCACAGGCATCTCCCTTCCAGAGCATAGCATCTTCAGGCTGCCTCTCTAATTTCAAGTGCTTTTGTACCTCAGATCAGTCATTTGCCCTTGTGGCATCGTCATTTAAATGTGTTAAGATCTGACAGGGGGGGGTTTGGTCCAGAATGGCAGATGTGGCTCCTGGCTTACTACATTTAATAGTGTATAGTCATAGTGTTTGGAAGTGCATTCATAGATAACTTTCTCATGCACAACAAACACAGATCCCGACAGAAAAGACATACGATCACCTTTATACTTACACGAATACACAATGGCAGAGAAGAATTTGCAAAACAGACTTTGAATTACTAGTTTAGCTTCTGTCTTCAGTTCCTGTGGCTTCTATTTTTCTGGAACTTCATCTGAGTAGAAACTGGTGCGTAATCACAAACGAGTGCTTTGCTAAAGAACTGGCTCTCAGCCAGCCAGCTATGTATTTATTTGCAGTTTAACAAGCTACTCATTTTTCACATATATGATACAAACGTAATATAGAAGTTGAGAAATGTGTCTGTGAGAAATTAGGAGCAATCTGGTTCATAGAAGGTAGGTTGAACCAACTCATAACCAACACTAGCACCAGCCCAGAACTAGCACTTGGTTTGTAGTGCTGGAAAGAAGGGTTTATCAGAGAAGTGTTTGGTCTCTTTATTTGAATACCTCTGTGTACCTTTTAATGTCCAGTCAGGTTAGCATTGATCAGCTGATGTTAAACCTTCGGAGGTCAAACACACAAAACTGCAATTACATGCAGCGGTTTCTCCTCATGCATCGGTTTGCTCCACCCACCCACTATTACAGCTTTTGTCAAGAGTTTTGGACAACACTTGTTTCATTGTGTTAAGAACAGAACAACAGAGCCCAGATTCAGTAAATGACACTCAGCGGAACGTGATTCAAGCCTGTACAAAAATAGAAACCTAATCACATTCATTGAAAACAGGGGAAGTAAGCTTAGCTTTTATTGCTACCGCAAAGCTGCTGGCAGGGTAGCCACGAGAGGAGAACGGGAGAGTAGGAATGAAAAGAAAGGGGGGCTGGAGACTGAAGCAAAAGGGCACTGCGGCTTTCTGTGGCCCCCGCTGCTCGTAAACAAGCTGGGATGTGTGAAATTGGATAAAAGAAAAAGGCCATATAAACAATGTGATCACTTACAGCAGAGGAAGGTGGGGGGGTAGAGCAGTGAACGGCAGCTTCCCCTGAACGCAGAGCCCTGTGGGAGTGACAGAGAGGTAAGGAGAAGAATGAGAGGTGGGGAGAGAAAAGAGGGAGCTTAATGGGAGGATAAGATAGGTGGTGGTGGGGGGGAATGAGTTTTTGATGTAGGAGGGAGAGAGATGGTGAACTTTAAGGAGAAAAAACAGAGGAAGAGAGAAGGATGGAAGTGCAGAGAGGACTGGGGATTGTGGGAAACACACTTGTGCCTTGTGGATAGTATCCAGTTTGTCGCAGATAGATGAGCTGTGAGCGGAAGGTTCAGACTAAGGTGGAAATCTTTGGAGTTCTGGGAAATAACAGAGCTGTCAAAATACATTAGAATCAGACATTGTTTCTGCTTATTCTATCAGTCTCTTGCTCTTCTTTGGGCGAGATTATGGACAGTGGAAACAATAACAAAATGTTCATCCACCCACTGCTATTAAAGTAACTTTACTTCTTTGCACAACCCACCTCCGCTCTTCAGCTTGCAGACATAGCAGCAGTACATTTTTCACCCCTGAAGGACACTATCCATCAGGTAGTGCAGCTGAGATTGATCACTTCCAAACTTCCCCCCCTGAGATTATCTAAATATCTTTTAGAATATGCGTCTGTGCCATCTAAAGCTCATTTTTCAACAACAAAAAAAAGTTTTTTGAGTCGTAGGCAGTACTTTGCTAAAACTGCCAAAAAGTACTACAGAGAACAGAAGGCTGAAAGAGCAGAGGAGACAGATGAGCTGAACATGTTATCAAGCTCCACACCTTTTTAGCTGTTAAAGCTTCAAGCTTTCTTCTATAGACTATTTGTAACAGAGTTGGAAAAGTTAGCTGCACCCAGTCTTTTTACAGCAATGTTAGGAGGCTGCATGTCAGTGTGTGTGAGAGCAGGGAGGCACTCACTTTGATAAAAGAAACACATTTTAAAGGTCCAGTGTGTAACATTTAGGAGCATCTAGCAGTGTAATGGTAAAGGTCTCAAATGCAGAGTTCAACAGTGTTATAAGTCCAGTTACAGTTTGAACATGGACATTGGTACTGTTAGAGACGCCGAAAAGCGTTTCTTGTGTATAGACAGGACCTGTGGAACATGTTTTATTTCTGCTGTAAAACCTACATAATTTTTACCATGTGGGGACCTTTAAAATGATATGACCACCCACTGCTCTGGAGCCAGCCTCAAGAGATCGGAAACCACAGTTCTCACAAAAGAAGAATATGACACGAAATTATAGCGGATTTTTGGCTTTATTCTATAACCAATTAACATCTGTGCTTTCAATTACATACTTTTTAATAAATATTGTATACACATTTTTATAGAATACCCCCCCTTAACAATTCCATGGAAGTGAAAATGTTGGAATTAACTGAAAAAAGTAAAACTCTTTGAGCCAGCACAAGAATAGTGCAAAAGTTATTTTTTATTCATGGGAAAATATAGTGTGTTTCATCTCTTCAGTTTTAGAAAAAAAATATGATAATTGACAAAACAGACTTCTGTTCATATTTTATGTATTTTGTGTTGATTAACTGACTGAAGGTCATAAGAGTAAACAACAAATAAAATGTTTCGTAGCTTGTTTCAATCAGCGTATTTTTATGCACATTTTTGAAATATCAAGCATTAGAAAGGTTGTTGAAGAAAAGAAATTCTCAATTTCACAAAAGAGGTAATGAGCTTAATGTGAGATGGAAACATTTTTTTAGGATCTGACATAATCATTTTAATTGGAGAGTGACTATTGTGATCAGATGGTGTAGTAATCAAGAGATATCCATCAAGTACACAATTGCTGGTCACTGCAGCATCAAGGTAACATTAAGATCCACCATATCTAAATGCCCCAACATTCAGCTACGTGCTGAGATTGCAAATGCAGTCTCAGTTGTTTTTATGGTCTCTTCCTAAGTTACTTATGTAAGCAAAACACTAGCTAACTAGCTAGCTAATCTACATCAATCATTAACCATCAAGTTACATCTGATAGTTAATGTTAGCAAACTAGATAGCTAATTTACATCAATCATCAGTTATCCTAGATGGTTCATTGCTAATGTTGGCTATCTTAGATGTGAATATGTTGTTACAAAGTTATGATCTTGTCTATCTGTAAGTTTTATTCAAGTCATTCATGATAGTCTCAACGCACGTCACACACAACATTGTACGTGAAAGTCCGAAAGAAGCCGAGATTGTAAAGAAGCAGTATGGTTATATCCTGTTGGATGCGTCACTCTAACACAGTTAACACATATCCTGAGTTCTGGGACAGTAAACAGACAGATAGTGTGGTGAGTATGATCATAACTATGTCCTTTGCTTCTTAGTGAAGTGTCAACATCCCGCTGTTTACTTGAGACATAGAGTGGTAGTTAGAAACAGGGCTAAATTTTAATATGCTATAATAGCCTCTTTAACAGTTGCGTATGGTTTTACATGACCATGTCAAAGGTTGTATAGGTTCTTA